CCCCTCACCCACCTGAGTAAATGTCGTAGTTATAGGCTACAAGGTGGTGGGTGAGTGGTTGAGTTACATGATGTGACAGTGACATGACCACTGACATGCTCAGGGATTTAGGCCATGCCTCTACCTACGACATGTCAGAGGTGTACCTACGACCATATCTAGGACACTGATGTGACCATCCCTCAGGAAACGCGACGGGGCTTTTTGCGGCTCTGTGGTCTAGTCTCCGCTTGTTCCTTTCCATTCGCGCGTAGCCTGTGCCGCGCTCAAACTCTTCGCGCCAAGGCGCACTGGAGGTCTTTGATCGCGTCGCGCACTAGCGGGTCTGGCGGCATTTGGGCTTGTGTTTGGCGCGTTTCCCTGGCGTGGCTAGGTCTGAGTCACATGCCCAACAACTATGGATCTTTTTGAATTGAGTCCTCGAACTAGAGCTTGGTATCAAAGGAAGAAAGATGAGATTTTGGCTTCGTACGAACCACTCCAAGTTCGACTCCGGGGAGGATCAAGTTATAACCCATATGATGGTTGTGTACCCGACACGTAACCTTTTAAGTGTACTATTGTATTGCTTTATGTTGAGTGTATTGCTTTTGCAAGTTTGATTTAATGCTTTATTTCTATTGGAATTCCTCAATTATTAATACTAGTTGGTTTCCTTATGAATACTATTTTACATTGTTAAATACTACTATTATTTTGAAACTACGTTAAGTAACCATATGGGAATGTAACTTTCTTTATTTCGACAATCACACTAGTACTCTCCTCCATGTCTCGACCACAAATGCTCAACCAAATCGTTCCTCAATGCGTGATGTCCCTCTCTATCACGAATCCTATTATGTCTTTTCATACACTCCATGAAATGCTATGCTCGGGTGGATCCCATCTGACATTTGGATTACTCTCATATTCAATGTCCACCATGACACAATATCAATACTCGTATTATTGATCTTCCACTATCATATTGTGCACGTCCCAGAGATGAGTCAACCCTCTAACAATTGCCCATCTTGTTGTAGTATGTCGAAGGCTCTCTGAACATCCTTGCAGTAAACATCTTGGTACTTTGCAAACAATTTCTTTTTCTGGTTACTTGGATTGCTAATTGTCTTCACAAATATCACCCACTCAGGGTAAATTCCATAATCCAAGTAATACAATTGATCATAGACATTACCATTTACCTCAGAAGTGATCCTTGGAACCAGTCCTCGGACTGCTTGATTAAAAATTGGGAGACTCCAAGTGTGTTGATGTCATTGTTCGACCTAGGTTTTCCAAAGAAGGCATGCCAAATCCAAGTGTCATATGATGCCACAACTTATAGGACAATGATTGGTTTCTCTTGTGGTCGATGAATTGGCCTGCCCAAGAACTCGGATACCTCTTCCACTCTTATTGCATGCAGTCAATTGAACCAATTATAATAGGGAATCTGCGTTGTTCACTATGATCAAGGAGGCAATGAAGATCTTCCACTGTTAGTGCACATAAGTACAGAGCACCAAAAATGTTGGTGATGGCGAAGCAAAACTTCCTCAGACACTTTAGTGTATTGTTCTCGCCCATTCAACAGGTCCCATCGAAAGAGTCTGCTAAGCATCCGTACACTAGCATTTAAAACGCACCGATAAGCTTTTGACGTGAAGAGAATGAATCACAACTTAGAGCATTTTTTCTTTGCTTGAAGTAGTCATCATACTGAAGAGCATCACTCATGACACGGTTGAATAGGACGGGGCACCCGATATCGCTTTATGAATGCCCTAGCGTCGTAGGTTGGAAAAGGATTGAAATAATCTTGCATCGCCAAATGAGACGGTCTTCTTTGTGATGCATCATTGATTTTCGTAATGATGAACGACGCTGAGATGATGTTGCTTCTTGTCAGTACACGAGGTCTCCATACATCATGAACATCTCCATACGTTCACGTTCACGCTTAAGCTTACACTCATACTCCCACTTTTTGTCATAAGCTTTCCTTTGCCTCTTATCATCTTCACTATCAGATGAATCTATGGAGAAATAAGAGGTTTTTGGTGGCTATAGAGATGTATAAAGGTTGGATGGTTTTTCAAGACTGAAAGTTGAATGGTGAGTGTGTAGAATGACTAAGTTTAAGCCTTCATTTACACGTAAACGAAAAGAATCATCTTTCTAATATGGTCAAGGTTGGCTGAACAGTTGATTGCAAAACATAATGTGATTAAAGTTGGATAAACAGTTGATGAAACAACTAATTATGATTAGAGTTGGATGAGCAGTTGATGTTACAACTCATTCTGGCACACATGTGAAGAATCTATGACAATCTGGACTAGTTACCGTGTTTTCGTCATTGATTACGTCATTTTTAATGAGAAAAGTTTAAATTAAAAAACCACATCGAAATGTTCGTCTTAATTAATTATTACTTTTTAACAAAAAAAAAATATTATTACTACCTATATAATAATAAGCAAAAAATTATGTAAACAATGATGAAATCTACTCTAAACTAGATTTGCGGAAATTTTTTGGGGAATTTAGAATTTTGGTCTTCCCCATTGGAGCAAAACCACCTTTTGTAGGATTAGAATACCAAATCTAGTCCTAAAATTTGGGTTTCTAGGTTTATGGGTTGCAGATAGTCTTAGCACCCTATCTCCTCTGGATGAAAATTGTATATCAATTTGCAGCAAAATACAATCCAACATGTGGCTTTTATTTACTGGATACTTTCTAAAAACCTCACAACTAAAAAAATAACTATGCAACTCTTTTTCATTCACCCCTTTTTCGATCCTCGCCTTCTCTTATGTTCTTGTCCTTTCTTATTTGCGTTTGCTTTATAGAAACCTGCAACTAGGGGGTGAACAAAATAATGGTAATCTGACCCAACTCATCCGTATTTCTAACTAAAATTAAAATTTAACGTTGGGTGAGAGTTCTCTCTGTGGAACCTGCCTCTCTTGGGTTGGGTGTAAATTTCGAGTTATGCAATCCGTACATGCCCAAACCAACTTATATATGTTACAACTATTGTCCTAAGGGTTTGTATCCAAAAAAAATATATTTATCTAATATACAAGTATATTTGTGAGGAAATTATGATATTTTGTCATATTAGATGATTTAATATAGCCTATGGTTCACGCTTTTTTTAACAATATTAGAAGAATAACATGTTAGCTTATAATGAACAATTTTAGAAGAATAATAAACATATCTTGAAGCAAATTGAATTTCATCAAGATCCAACAACAACTTCAATGCATTTTGATGCTTTTTACTTTTATTTATTTGCTTGATATTTTAATTAGTTAATAATTTAGTAATTTTTTTTGTGTTTGGTTGAGTTTCTACTTAAAAATATAGGTCATCCGCCTCAATCCAATTATAAACAAACCGTAGGACACTATGTTTTTTTGGAGGGTTTGGATTTAGTATTTTCAAAATCGAAGTGTATAAATCTCGTGATTAAAATGTTTAAACCCAAACTACCCGACTATGTACACTATCGAAACTAGATAGTTTCATTAATTAGTACGATATTGTCCACTTTGACCCAAACTCGTATAGATTTATTCTTAGATTTCTTGCAAAGAGGCCTCATACTAATAAAATGGGTGGATCCTATCACTTATATTATTGATGTGGTACTTGAATGGTCTCCGATAACATAAACCCCTACCTGCAACTGCATCATCAACAATCCTTGCGTGACTCTACCTAAACCCTGCAGTCACGTACGCAGCTGCTTAAGTAAGGATCCGGTAAATGAAGCGTATAATACTTTTCGTTCATAATGACATTATATCACGGGACTGATTTCCACGGGAGTATACCCGGGATTACACCTTTACTAACCTTGAGACTTTTCTTATAAGTTTTGCTGTACGTGAACGATATAATTGCGCATCTTCCTTATTTCCTCCAAGTCGTCTATATACAAAAGACTTGGTCAGTTTGCCATTGCCGGGGTCGGAACATGTTGTAAACTTGGACGAAGCTCGTGGACGCCACACGACATTTGCCAAACTGTCGCTATCTGGACTGAATGGGCACATGCTCGCTGAAAGCGAATCCCGGCCAGCTGCCTGCATATCCCAACCTACCGCATCATTAGTGGCTCTTCAATTGAAATATTCGCGGCAATGGGCCCTGGTTCTTGTGGTTGCCACACGTCTCTCTTCCTCAAGTGTGAATGCGGATCCCCAAATCATATTCCTTTTGGTAACTTTTGTCTCTTGTTGGTTGGGTTCGTACCACTGCCCATTCGCTGTGTTTTTCTGCAGCTCTGGACTACTACTCAAGTTTTGAATTTTCACTTCCAAGTGTAAAATTGGTACCTTTCATCTGTTTGATGAATGTCCTCAAAGAGCCGATCCTCCTATTTGGCTGTGAAAAGTGTATATTGAACAATATGAAATTGATGCATTGTACATAGCAATATATGAGATTTATACAAAAGTTGGAACTGTCCCAGGTTTTGAAAGGGAATAGAAAAGAAAAGATTATCTTCTGTTGACTAGCTTTAAGCCATTATCCGGCTATACGTGAGAATGGGTTCTGACCAAGACAATGTGGTATGGTATTAAGTAAGCTTGAAGTTTGGGTTCGGTTCAACGGTTAAATCGAAATCTAAATCGTTTGTCAACGGGATAATCGAGAATCGAAAAGTGAATGAATAGAACGATCTCGATTTAGGTTTTGATAAATGCCAAGTTTGATCACTGGGTTTATTAAAATACGATGTTTGGTCATTGAAAAAAATTAATATCAATTTTTGTCACTCGAATTAGTAAAACGGTCCACATTTAGTCACTCTCCGTTAAGTTTGTCTGATGTGGCAGTCAACCTTAACAGTTGACCGTTAAATATCTGACGTGGCAATTAAAAAATTAATAAAAAATAAATTTAATTCTTTTAATAAGTTCACATCATTAAAATATAAAAATTAAAATCCCTCACCGTCGAACTTCACCAAAGCCGGCCGAACTTCCGGCTACATGACCGGAACCATCTCCCCTGCCATCTGCAAGCTCGACCAGCTCACCACGCTCATCATCGCCGACTGGAAAGGCCTGTCCGGCGAAATCCCCGACTGCGTCTCTTCGCTCTCCAACCTCCGCATCCTAGATCTCGTCGGCAACAACCTCTCCGGCAAGATCCCTTCCCAAATCGACAACCTAAACCGCCTCACCGTGCTCAATCTCGCCGACAACAAAATCTTCAGCGAAATCCCGGCCTCGGTTTCGAGGCTGCAGAGCTTGAAGCATCTCAAACTCAGTAACAACCAAATCTTCGCCCGGATCCCCGCCGATTTCGACAGCTTGAAAATGCTCAGCCGCGCTCTGCTTAGCAGAAACCAGCTCAGCACCCCCATTCCCGATCCCATGTCCAATTTGTATAGGTGAACGTATAATGTAGTCAAGGATTGACCACCTATGACCTTCAATTTAAGCATTGATTAGAAAATTATTGATAAAAATGTATACACACAAAATCGATCTGTTTGTGCAGGCTGGCGGACCTGGACATATCAATGAACCAGATCTCGGGGGCGTTGCCCAGCTGGCTGGGAGACCTACTGGTGCTGTCGACGATAAATCTAGACAGCAACGCGATCGACGATCAGATCCCGGCGAAGCTGCTGGGTAGCAGGGGGTTGGGAATAATGAACCTGAGCAGGAACACGTTGGAAGGGGAGATACCCGACGCGTTTGAGCCCGAGATCTATTTCATGGCGCTTGACCTTTCCTACAACAACTTGAAAGGGAAGCTTCCTAGGTCGCTGTCGTCGGTGGCGTACGTGGGGCACTTGGCGGGTCTTTTTTAATTTCCTTCGCCTAATCAGAGACCCGGTGGGGTGGGGGATTTTTATTTTTATACTTTAATGATGAGGAAATATTAACCGAAATAAATTTATTTTTTATTAATTTTTTAATTGCCACGTCAGACATTTAACGATCAACTGTTAAGGTTGACTGCCACATCAGACAAACTTAACGAAGAGTGACTAAACGTGTACCGTTTTACTAATTCGAGTGACCAAAATTGATATTAATTTTTTCCAGTGACTAAACATGACACATTTTAATAAACTCAGTGACCAAATTTGGCATTTACCTATTTAGGTTTAGATCATTTTTCAAGTTTCGGTCACAAACCAAACCGCATACGGGCCCTAGTCCATCATGTCATTCCAACTCCAAGGTGGCAAAGTTCAACCAAATTATAGATCAAGCCCAATGGGTTGTCAGGTTCAACGTACTTGGCATTTGAACTGAAAAATAAAACATTTGGTTCTCAAGTTAAAACTGTACTTGTGTCGGTTGCAGTTGCCGAAATGGGGCAAATCCAGATTTAGTTAACTGAAATTGAACCAACCCTAGTATTAAGGCTGTTGTTACAAGTTTGGTATGACAGCTGAACTTTTTTAATCTCATCCAGCTTGTCCGCAAGCTGGCGTATGAAGGTCAGAAATACTTAGCTTGATTAGAAGAAGATGGAGCTTATCAACATCGAGAGGTTTGATAAAGAGATTGGTTAGTTGGTCTATGATGTTAATTATGAAAGATAGGGTTTCACGCAACTGAATCCATTCTCGTACAAATGACAATCCATCTCCATATGTTTTGGGCATTCATGAAAAAATAGGTTTGGTTGCAATGTGAAGAGCGACTTTGTTTTCATAGTATAAGCTAATTTGGGTAGATTGAGATATTCCATGATAAATGTGTAAGTCACATAGTCATAAGAGTTCACTAATTGTGGTGCCATTGCTCTATTTTCCGCTTTAGTGAACGATTTGACAACAACATTTTGCTTCTTAATGCGTTAGGAGATGGGGGAATCTCCTATCTTTAGCTCTATCATGTATGAACGAAAACGATAGAAACGACATGGAAAAAAATAAGATTAAATATAAAATATTTAAGTTCTATATCAAAGCAAAATATGGAAAATATTACTATAAAGTAAGAATTAAAGAAAATGATCGATTTTTTCCAAGATTTAGCCTTTCTATCATCATCTTCCGGAAGCATAGACAGATAAGGGTGAGCATAGGGTAGTTTAAGACACAAATCTAGCCATAATCGACCCACACCGCCCTACGTTGAACGTGGTTCCTGTAGGTGAGCGTGGGTGGGTTGTGGTTCATCCATGATCTACCCTAATTTTTAACCTCAAACCATGAAATCTCTAAAATATATATATACCAAAACAAAAGCTATAAAAAAAAATATTCCCTCCAATTTCAATCAAAAGGTCTTCTCAAATGTCTAGTTATCTTATTCGGTCTTAATTATACATGTTATACACTTCATATCTTGATCGTTTGACTTGGTGATTAGCGTTCCTTGTACTACTTATGCTACGTTGTGTTTTGTTTGTCATATTTCAGGTCCTACGATGCACATATGATTGAGGAATGAATTTAAACACATTTGGAGGTGAGAATAGACAAAAAATGCAAGAAGGTGTATATGTCACAGCTGGGGAGCAAATGTCACGGCCAGATCGTGACATTAACATGGAAGCCGTGAGACTCGACCAAGACGCAGAGAGCAAACCATGGGTCGCGACTTGCTGGATAGATCACGACCTTGGCTATGAGTTTTGACAAGAAACCTTGATATACTAAAAAATGTTGTGTTTTCTCGTCAAAGTCGCGATTTTGTTATCGGCGTCAAGGTCGTGACATGAGATCGTAACTCATGCACTGCATGCACGTATAAAAGTTGTTATTACGATTTGAAAGGAAAGAGCTGGGTTTTTTGCCCAAAACATCCCAGAGGCGTTCCAAAGAGAGGGAGAGTGACCTAGGAGGGTTCTTAGAGTTATTTTGAAGGTACCCAACCACATCGAGAAGATCAAGCCTAGAAGATGAACATTGAAGATCTTGAGCTTTTTATTATGTTCTCTCTCGTCTCTATGGATTAGTTCTCCTTCATCTAGGTTTTGATGGACCCTAGCCATGTTCTTTTTTTGTATGATTGGAATTTATGTGTGAATAATTGTTATGCTTGATTATACTCTTGATTATCTATTGACTTGAGAAATTATCATGAATTTGTGCGGGTATTGATCATAGTATCCAAATTGGGGCTATTGACCTAAGATAGAGAATATCCAATTAGAATGATTAGAGAAATCTCTCAATTCTTAATTGTGGGTTAATGGACCGAGAATGAAATTGGACTATAATGTCGTATTGGATCCAAATCCTTTAGTGAGAGCTAGATTGCATGCCCTAGGTGTTCTATTTTCTCGGATGTGGAAACTCTCCCTCCGGATAGTTCATCCTAAGTGACTTTGGATAGCTCGAATAGGGAGTTCAAGAACGTTTAGGACTCTCCACGGTATAAATCTCGAGTTGGTAAGCTAGGAACGTCAAACATTGATCTAGTTATTAGCTAGGGCGTTCAATTCCTAAGTGAGCTCTCGACATTTAATTTAGCTAGTCTAGTTCTTAATCACCAATTTATGAGTGATTTTATCATTTTGGGAGTGACATATGAAATAAAACAGGTCTAACCGGTCGACCAGGTAACCCACCCAACCCGACCCAAAAAATCATCGGTTAATCGAATTCCGATCAATCGGGTTTTGGGTTATAAAAACTTATATTATTTCTTTTGGGCGGGTTCGGGTGGGGTGTCAGGTTGTAATTTGCCAGGTGTATAGAGACCCTAGGGTTTGATAATGCTATTACTTTACTTCCAATATACTACACATGGTCGTTGGTAATGCTTGGCTTTCGTTGGGATAGTAGTTTAGAGCGAGCCAAGTTTTTAGCATCATTGCTGGAGAATTCTAGGTTACAGGAAAATGTTTAGGTTTTTAAATGAACTTTCTTTGCTTTTTTTGTTTTGTTTGCTTTTTTTGTTTTGCTTCCACCTTTTGGTTTGAAGGTGTTTTTCTTATATGTGTAAGTTGAATCATGGATCTCGGTGGATTCTTTGGGGATATCTACAAACACCCGAATGGGGTTACCTCGAAGCTTTATGGAGCAACCAAGATGGTCGAAGCCAATGAGTTGGGTTCTATGACCAACCACCATTCGATGAAGAACAAACATACCCAAGGGAATTTCAAGAAGCTTCCCCATAGCATGAAGACATATGCCCCAATGTGGCTAATATAGAAAGTAGAGAAAGCTTGTGCACGACTTTGTCTCTTAACATTTGAAGAGGAAGGAGAGGCTGAAGAAACGATCAATGATGACTGTGTGGAGCAAGAGGAACTTATAAGATCTCAAGCTCGTGAAAGCTTAGGTTCTTTAGATCAAAGTCACGCAGCAACAACTTAAGCTAGCTCCCTGGAAAAAACACACATATGTGTAAAATTTTTATTCAACAAAGTATAAACTTAAAATTCATGTTTACAACCATTTAAATAGGTCTGGAAATTACATCATGAATTCATTTCGGAGAGCTCTCTTGGTGACAATGACCAAGAGTGTCTCATTGACGAATTTCACACCTTTTCCCATCCCAACACCAACTTTGAAGACCAAGTCTCGAGCGTGGAGGAGCAAGATGACCTTATCAACGAATTTGCATGGCACTTGCTCTCCAATTCATGCTTGACAATAAGAATGGGAAGGTGAGACATGAGGTAAGGAGGAAGAAGTGAGAACCAAGGAGGAAGCTCTTGACTGTTCCCTAGAGGAGGAACACATTTGGGAAGAAGGGAGGTTGAGGATGCAAGTGGTTTCCGATCAATGGACGAGGCCACAGTGGATGAAGCTTATATAAGTTACAAGTACTACCAAAACTTTCCACCCGACCTTGATGCAATTCCTGAGAAGGACCCATTTGTGGTTTCTCTTTACCATGACAAGACCACACCATCATTGATTGCTCTAAGTAGATGCGATGGTGGACAATTCATGATGTGGGGGCAAAGATAAGAAAGAATGAAAGAAGAATAGGTCTCGTGGGTGGAGCCTCAAGTCCATGAGCCACTATCATCACTTGCCACATCAAATTCTCATGGCTTGCGCCTCTACATTTCCAACAAGAACCTCAACTTTAAGAAGGTTTTTGGGGTGGACCGAGACTTAGGAGCCCTCGTCCGGCTCATATGACGTTAGATAAGTGCTTGTTGGGAGGCAACCCAACCCTTCAGTTTGCATTTTTTTCCTCTGCACTTAGGAGCCGTTGTTCGCCTCATGATGTTAAAAAAGCTCTTGTAGGAAGGCAACCCAACACATCAGTTTGCCTTTCTTTTCTATTCAATAATAACCTTTGGAAGCTTGTGGTGTTTTGGTTGACGAGTTGATCTCCCGAATCTTTCTCGTCCTCCTGTTTCGTCCACCATCCTTCACACCTAATCCGATAACTTTGTTCTACCATCGCTATCTTTCCTGCATTAAGAACAATGTCGTGCTTAACTGCGGTGGTGTTCCATGATGTATGTGTGTGATGAAGGCGTGTGAATGAATTGTGGCCTATCTTTTAAATGCTTTGGATCATAGACGATTTGCCTAATTTCAATATTTTGAGGGCTCCAAGTACATAAGGATGAATGAATTGCTTTAGCCTACACTGAGAGTATTTTGGAACCTAGTATTATTTGCCTAAATTTTCAAATTTGAGGGTTTCAAGCAACTTGTCCCATGCTTTCTCCTACTCATTGTGCTTTGAATCATTCGATATCATGATGGTATGCATTCTAGGGAGGATAGTGTAGTGCTACGAAGGAAGTTGGTAGATGAGAAATCTAGCCTCCACCTAATCCCTTTGGTTGGTTGATACTGTCGACTAGTGGTGTTAGGACACTTGTCTTAGACTCTCTACCCTTGCGGACTCAATTTTTTTTTTGCAAAAA